CACACACACACACAAAGTCTCTGAATAACATTTGAAACTAAAATCTGAAACTTTTACACTCAAACTGCAATAAAAGTTGTGAGAACATTCAGGGTGGCTTTTGGAACTCTGCATCAAAACATCAAACATCAAACATCTGCAACAACATGGTGCATTTCAGGCAGGAGTACTAGGTTAGAATACTGTTCAAGGACTGAAACTTGTTTTCAAATCCTTTTACAGCAATGGAGAATGTCGTAAGAACACATTAAATCTCAGGAGCCATTTTTAAATCCACCACTCCAACATCATATTGGCTTTTCCTCCTCTGTGTGGATTAGCGGGTTTATAAGCTGTGGTTCATAGCCTCAGTCTGGGCCCAAAAGAAGCTGGTGTACAAACATTTATTGCGCTGTGCAAACACAGAGCTTGTGAATCCCACACATTTGTGCTTTTCTTCACCATACTAACTACAAGATCAAACCTGAAATCTCTCAACTAAGAAACAGCTTCTATTTCCAAATACAGATTGATGAATTAAAAAGTTAATTAAAAAAACGGCAGATAACGGCTTGCAGGAGTTGTTTCGACTCCCACCTCTTTAGCACGATGGGGACAGAAACAGCAGGGTTTTTCTTCAGGCCATCGATGATGTCGGGCGCCTTGTCTCCGTATATCCTCTGGATGGCCTTGCGGTGTACGACCTCCGAGGAGCCGCCCAGCGTGCTGTCCAAGCGGAACTTAGCCTGCTCCTCCGCAGACATGCGGGACAACTTCCTCTGTACTGTCTCCAGGACTCTGATGGTAGCCAGGTTGGTCTCCAGTACAACATCCAACTGTGGGCAAGAAAACAGAGCAGTTTAGAGCATCTATTGGACCATGGGTTATCAACCCTGTGGTAACGTCAACAGACAAGTCATGTTTAATGTTACTGCTCACCTCAAAGCGTTCATCCTCACATCTGTAAATATGCTCCTCGTACTGAGTCTTCTTGGAGCTGACAAACGTGGAGTCCTCAGACCAGGAGGGGAAGGAGACCCAGGTGTCATTTAAGACCTGGATAACGCAGAGAGAAACGCTGTGTCATCTTTGAGGTTCATAGGTTAATGTGGAATTCAAATGATATCAATGAATATGACACACTGATGTAAAAAGCGTTCCTTTTCCCACTGTTATCCTCGTGTAGCATCTATCTGACGATGTGATCTTGTGTTGTTTTACACATTTTTCCAACAAAATCTCATATTTTCCATAAAGTAACTAATCGACAATGGATGAGGCCATTTTTATGTTAATTTGTCATAGGGTTTAAAATAAAAAACAAAAAAATGCAGGTTATAACATTTTCTAAAATCTTCTCGATATCTACTCTTAACTCAGTTATTCCCTCAGCTTTTCCTGAGTGCCGCTATTACCTCTTTACAAAGTGGAGTTCTGCCGGTGCACTTGGGCTGTTGGTAGCTTTTGGGCAGAGCTCTGTAACTGGAGCCTAGTCTCTTACAGGAAGCATAATCAATCTCCATGGCGATGCCCTCAGTGGCCCGTTCTTTAGGGTACGTTTCGATGTGGGACATTTCTCGATATCCCAGGAAGTTTTTAAACCAGTTGAACAGCTCAGGGAATTTCCTGTATAACATAATTAAGTGAAAAATATATGTATGATATACAGAGGACAATGTACTGTGAAACAAACATTTATGTCACTTGCCAGGTGAGATGTCGAGTACTCACCCTAAAAAGGGCAGCACCAGCTGCACTAGTTCAGCCCTGGAGATCACCTCCTGATTAAAGATGAACAGACACCGCAAGAAGTTGTCGTAGGCCTCTGCACTTCGCAAGGCTTTGCGCACCTGTGATAATAAATAAACAGTATCTGTCAGAGGCCAGTGGAGGTACATAAAACGACCAAAACAGCATGACTCTTTTGTGCTTGTCTACAGTCATATTAGAGTTTTCCTTTGCTGAAGTCAATATTTCCTGAGTTTACTTATTTCTTATGTACTTCAAAGCAGTGTTGGAACGATTTATTTCGATTATATTCATCTTTAATATTTTAAAGATAGGGCTTTTCTATAAAATGCCAGAAAAAAGTGCATGCTTAATAAAATGACTAATGCATAACGTGCAAGAATGTTTGCTTTTCACATTAACAAAAAGATAAAACACAGCATACTAAAAACTCACCTTCTCAAAGAACAGAGATTCAGTTCCGACTCCATGCTTGCTGGCTTCTGCCACCGAGGAATCTTTCAAATTCAGCAACTTGGGCTTCTTCTGTAGCACAATGAAAAGAGTAATGAGAGGACATGCGTACAATATTTACAAAAACAATCCAGCAATGGCGGACTTAAATAAGCAGGCAATAGGAATTGACGACAGCTTCAGCAGTATGTGTGACTGCGTGAATGTACCTTGACGGTAGGTGCGCCCCCCGGAGTAGGATGACGACGGATCTGGCAGCCGTTCTGATTGGGCCTCTGTTTGTTGTTGAGCTGCAGCTTTTTGGCTGTGCCGCCGTGGTCGTTCCGTACAGATTCTGCCTTCTCGGCCGTCGTCTTACTTAGCAGCTACGGAGAATGCAAAACATTGATTAAGATGAGGATACATGAATATGCTCTTCTCAACTGCGGACCTCCAGAACTACAGATACAATGACATTAAAAAGTACTTAAATAAGGCCCAGTGAGAAACAGCACATACTAAAAGTAACTCTTTTACTCCATACTTTAAGTAAGTGCCAGTACACCTGCACTAAAGCTCACCACTTTGCTCACCACTGAACTGTTGGCGTCAGGGAGAAATTGCCCGAACTCTGAGAGCAGGTCTTCTTGGTTCTTGAAGAGCCTAGCCACCTGAGCGTACACCTCCTGCTCCGTGAGAGCCGGTGTGTAGTTCCCACCAGCCTCCTTAGCATTACGCTGCTCCTTCTGCAGGGGCCAAACACAAGTTTACTGTCAAGTCACTGCTGAAATCTTGAATAACATGAGAGCTTACAAAGAAAACAATCACATTAATTCCTCATGGTACATGACGTTAATACAGATTTTTCCAATAATACAGGGGGCCCCCCTCCCTAACGTGTGACGATACAGAAAGCCGAGCACTGGCTGAGCGTAGCCACTGACCTGGTACGTGTGCAGGATCTCCAGGAAGGCTTTGTAGATGTCTGGCTGACCCTGGAAGCGGTTCTTGATCTTATTGACATAATTTATAGCGTGGTTGAACTCCACAGGCTGGTTGTTCTGAATGGGCGGCCCAGTGGGGGTCCCGCTGAGTGGTGGGTGGAGCTGCATGGGCGGGGAGCGAGGAGAGGTGTACGCAGGGATGGACGGATTGCTCTGACTGCTCGGTGTCAACGCCTGGGGCTGAAGAGGCTGTGAAAGGCAACAACATTCAAGGTTTTAGGGCGTTTAACCAGACGCTGCACCACAAAACAGCCGTTTTTTTTTAACCTGAATAACTAAAACTTTTTTGCTCGCTCTGAATTACTCACTTTGCTCATCTTGGCAGAGGTGGGCTGTGTCAAAAGGGGTGGGGCGGTGGTGGTTGCAGCAGGCGGGAGCTGGGCCGGATGTTGGGTAGCTGCTCCTGTTATGGGGATGTTCTGGACTGAAATACCATGTGGGGTGATATGGTGGATCTGACCAGGCGTGGTCACATTGACCAGGTCGTTGGTCTGGACCTCAATCTTGTAGCCGGGTGGCAGGAAGGTGTTGAAGCCCATGATGAGGTCGGGGTGACCTTTGAAGAGCTGTGACACTCTGCTGATGACCCCAGGGGTGTCAATACTGGAAAAACAAAACCAGACAGAATTTATGCAACTATCCAACAATAAGTTCCTCCTGACAGTAGAGTGAGCCACTATAAACCTATATAAAGGCGAAGTCATGCTAAAAGAAAATACTTTGATATACTGTGAAACCACTAATTACTGCATCAATAGTTATATGAATACCAATAACCCTGGCTCAACAAATGGACATTTGTCTGTGAAGTTGTGCTGGTGAACGAAGGTGACAACACTGCTACAAAGATAAGAATTCTGCCCACGCTGTAGGCTTTAACCTGTTGGTTGTCGTAGCACTGTCGTATCTATATTCTGTTCACTTTATACAGTATTCAAATTTATTAGCACCTGGTATGTGTAGGAAAAAAACACAAGCTATCAAATCCAACAGATCTTGCAGACCAACAAAGATCACATAAACAGTTACATTTTTCAGGAAATGGATGTTAGTTCTGCTGGGAGCATCTATGCACCTCTGTGTGTAAATATTGGTAAAGCTTCTCTGGGTTCTGGGTTATTTCATATGGATGCAGACGTTTGATTACACTAACAACAACAACTAAAATATGACTAGAAATTTGACAACATTCTCAAACGCACCCAAACCCAGCAAAACAAAATTAGTGGAGGGGTAACTCTAGTACTTTAATATGAAGTTGTTTGGAAGTAAAACTAATGACTAGGGTCTTTCTAACTAAATTAACTTACATTTGTATCTCTATAATTTAGTCACAATTTCCTCCTCATATATTTTCCTGTCTGACAAATGCGGCTGCTACTTTTTCACATCAACTATCATCGTGCTATACCTGGGCTGTGACTCAGAGTTCATTCGTAAGCTGCCAACATTGTGGGGCATTAAGAGTTTTACCAAACCAAGAGCAGCTTGTCCCCTTTGACCTTTAGATTGTTCTGAACAAATGCCAACTTATAGCTGCCATCTGTGAAAGGGACAACGGACGAGCAAATGGGGGCTGCGAACAGAGTAAAAAACAACAACAAAACAAAACAAATAATATTGTATAATTTACTATATTATAATTAATAATATTATAAGTAAATAATTTTAAGTTTTGTAAAAAAAGAAATGTGATGGGATTTATTGCCTGGTGTAAATCAAATATTAGTTTATTAGTCAGTAGTGTATTGTGCAAATTAGTTGTACAATGACACTGTCATGGCATGACTGAAAGAGTAAGAACTCTTTTAACTAGAACGTTGACTGGCTTTAGATGTGCATCCCAATAACTCACAATATTTTTCACAGTGGCCTCACCTTTGAGACTTGAATTCTTTCATTATATCCAGAAAGTCATTGTAGACCTGAGGCTGGTTGCCAAACTGCAGTTTCACTTGGTCCAAGTAGGACAAAGCATCTTCCACCTTAGGGAAAGAGGACAGTCAATGTCATCAATCTCTTTTTCTTTGACTACCTTTGGCAGCAGTGCCCTGATCCCGATATCAAACCCATTCTTATGGTAAGAGAATGACAGCGTAGACATATCAACAAATACCACTGGATTTAGAAAACAGCAGTTAAAAATGTTCCTTCGTTCATTTAAAAAAATCTCAATTTAGCATTTTCAGATCTTAAAATGTTAATTATCAGGTTCTTTTATACAGCATACTTTTGGTTAAATGCTTCCCTGTAGACCACACTGAAACGTCTGACAGCTAGGGTTTAAAGGGGAAAAAAAATCATATTTTTTGGGTTGGAGGAACCGGGCTTTTAGCCAGGACGTGACAACTTTAAGAGTCTGTCAAAATAAAATGAGCCAACTAACCTTGAGCCTCTGGAACTGCTGCTGGCCCTGTGCAGAGGCTTGAGGAGCAGCCGTGTGGCTATGCCCTGACAACACTGAGGGCCCATGGGGCTGGACTGCCGGGTTGTGATGGTGGGACCCAGCATGCATGGCTGGGCTCGGAGCGTGCCCATGCCCGCCACTGTTCTGGGCTACCGTAGGAACCTGGGAAAGCAGAGACACTTATAACAATGATGGCTAATAAAACTGTAGAAGAAAGATAGCTGGTGGATAGCACTGTGGCCTTGTTATAGAAGGAAGAATTCTGTAAATCACCACATACAATGACAGTACAGCAGTTTATCTTCATAAAAAGTGAGACTTATGAGCGACATGTGACTTAAAGTGCTGTATTTGGCCTAGTTTTAACTCTACAACAGAGCAAATCAAAAACAAATCTGCAGTGGACGAGCTGAATATACCTGGTATCCCTGGGGGACGGAGTACTGGACGCCTGCTGTAGGCTGCATGTTGTCAGTCACGGCCTCATACACAGCTGGGGCTGGAGCAGGGGCCAGCACACGATGCTGGAAAGCCTCCGCGTTGCCAGCAAGGCGCCGCTGCTGGGGCGTAAAAACCGTTTCCTGATCCTCCAGTCGCCGCTTCATTATGAACTCATACTCCTAAGAGCTGAGAGACCTGGGAATAAAGAGCATATGGACCTTATTTCACACTGGCAGATCTGTCAACTTATCAGAAACCATTACATCTGCCTCTTGAATTCAGTCAATAATTTGTCGAGGAGCATATGGCAATAATTTTATTACTTCAACTGTGAATTTATGGATGCCAGCTCGACGCTTCTGTTGTTTGGCTTAGGAAGAAAACGACTACATGGTGTCCGACCACATTGCCAACGAAACGAGGGTTCACAGAGGTCAACTGCTTATACTGATTCACTAACCCATGATTGTGCACGTCACTTTTATAGTTGTGTCATATTTCTGGGGTGTGTTTTTTTAAATGTTCTTTTTCGACAGATGATTACGTTTGTACACGTCACTGCAGACTGACTTCAAGTGACTGATGAGTGACTATTTAGTTTGAACTTCCTGAGCCACTCAAACAGCAACTAGACCAGAATGATATACGCAAGAAATGTGCTGATCGGCCCCAAATGGGAATCCCCATCCAGCTGCATACACAAGAACAGATCCCTTACATATACATTTGATTTGGTGAAAGGGGGAGAAGAGAAGAACCACGGCATCGCTGCTACATTATAAACTACACCCCCCCTCCCCTCCACAATGCCTCTCTCTAAATGTTACCATGTACTGAATGTAAAACTCGCAGTCTCTCTCCGCAGCCAATGAGATACAGACAGTCTACGTCACCCATGCAACAAACAGGTGCTGTGGGAACGTGGGAGTCGGTCTGCCATTCACAACTTCCTCAAGACAGCGACAACTCCTAAAGCACCGGAATGAAACGCGTTATCGAAAGACTCAGCTCGACGGACAGGAACCGGTTAAAATAACGTTTCACAACCCGAATATCGAGCAAAAAAAAAAAAAAAGTGACAATGGCTGTCAGGCTGAAGAGCACTAGTGCCGCTTCCGACAGTCGAGCTTGTGGCTTGTTTTCACCAACATTACAGCTCTCTCTCTCTCTCTCAGCTGTTTACAGACACATCCTCTTCACTCGGTGCAGTTACGTTACAGAGGAACACAGTCTGTGTGTGCTAACATGCTAACAAGCGACTCACCGTCCCCTTTATGGCCTGGAAACACAAGCACCGACCTCGAGTTACAGCACGACGCTTTCTCTCTCTCTC